GTAGTATATTCATATCGGTACGAAGGATTAAGCAGGGACCGTTATATAGATTTAGTGGACCGGATACTAGCACATGGACACTCCTGCTTGTTCGCATCAAAACCAAATTAGACGACCCTCAGCATTATAGGCTTCTCATATAAATGAGGTCTCTTTGAATAGAAAGTGTCGATATAATGCGTGTGATGGTTGGCTTGCGCATCACATCTCCCTGCATCAGGATTTTTGTCCAAAAGGCTAAAATAGAGAGAAGACAGAGGCCAGACCTGCAATTCTATAGTGACTGGAATGTATGATAAGAAATCATGATAGCGTAGAGCTGCGATACTCTCTTCCTAATGTAAGACATTAAGAGTAGTCTCGTTACCGAAGCCCTATTTGCTCAGGTTCCATTTGGTTTTTCTTGTACAAAGCTGAGCACTACTAGAATAGCTTGTATTCCATATTGGTCTTGAAAGAGCTAGTCATTTTCTCCCTATCATTTCTTGATAGTGTTGGGCGTAATAGAGAATTTTAGTCTTATAAGGCTGCTCATGGTGAAGCGAGCGTGGTGTTTGTGCTTTCATGTTGTACTAGATCTAACGATTTCACTATATCATAGGATAAATCTATTAACTCTTCATTTGAACAATAATTGATAATATACATTTCTACACAAAAGGATTTCTATCTTCTGTCCTTATTAAACGATTGTCTCCAACAATATTTCTCTAAGCCAATCGTGCGTGTCGATATAGATTTGTGACCGATTAGATCACCATACAAGGGAGCAATTGAGTTTGGCACTGTGAATGACGCTTGTAGCATTACAAGAGATAAGTTGGAGGAGATCTATATTATTAATAGCTTCTATATAACCAAAAAGTACTTTTGACACAATTAAGATTTGAACACAGCACCTATTTGAGGATCCAATATGATGCGACTTACAATGAGACATAAAGAGAACTATGTCTTTAGACTGACGTGTGCATATTAGGTGTATATGTACTCATCTATTCATAGTATGAACTTCAGACAAAAGAAAATTAATCCTACACCTAGTTACTTCACTCTACAAACCGCTCTAGCACTCTGTATATAAATAGTTAGATTGTATGGTGACAAACCAATATGAAAATTAGAATACATAAGATCCATGCTGGCGCTCAATCTCTAGTTTTGCCAAAACATTGATTGCAAAAGCAAAACAGTCTATATTGAAGTTCAGGGACTATGAACTTATCATAACAAGCTATTTAAATGACTTTGGTACTCCTGCACCTATGCATTAGCTAACTTTTTTGCTATAAAAGTACGACTGTCTATACTGCCGCGCGATAGTGTTTTGCGCATGGGTAAAAAAAAATTTGACAAGCTTCACCGCACATACAGCCACCACACACTTAGGTTTTGGCCATATGTTAGTTCAAGTTACTTGAGTAAAACGGTACTTGTTGTCAACCACTGTCTTTTCATGCTCTCATTGTTCTAATGGGTGATTTGTGTTTATAATAGAAGGGCTATACTTCTCTATTCTGTCAAAGTAGTATGGCCATTCTGAACTGCCTTAAGAGTCCTTTGCGCCTGGAGTAACAAAGAGAATTTTTGGAAACAGAGTCCCAGTATCATCTCACTCAACGACACTGAACGTTATAGACAAGATAAAGATACATTGATTAAGCAAAAGGAAGAGGAGTGCAACCCACATGAAAGGACCTTCACACCATCACCTCTCACCATTATTTATAGCTTAGAGATAAGTGACTGGCCAGAAATCAAGTCATAAAGAGAATTTTGGAGGGCGCATTAACTCAAATACAATAGTAAAAAATAGGTTAGTAATTCTCATTTACTTTTCCCTTTTCATCTGGTGAAGACATAAATAGCTTTTTGGCTTTATATTTACTTGGTCTTCTTTTTTGTAAGTCGCTCTTCTTCGAATGGATAAATGAATCGAAGAATTAAATGTATACCCCATATAATGACCATTTAGTTTAACTTCTGGTATCCTAAGTTAGAGTTTCTTTCTACGGGACTCCATTAGGAGCATAGCATTAAAAATAAGCACTTGTCCCCTATTAGGAGCAATGCTGTCAAATAAGCCTGCCTCAAAGGAAGCCTCTCACTACATGTATAGTCAACCTAATTATCAACCAGTGAGCAAAGTGCCACTACCTCAGAGAGCCTTGCGGCGCAATAAGCTGCCATGAGGGGATAGATTGAAGAATGCTCATTCTTGGTAGTTTCATCCTATATGGACTTGCCTAGATAGGTCTTCAACCCCATGAGGGGCAATCGCCGAAGAGAATCATCGGCTTCCCAAAGTAATTTGCCTGCAATCTGGCCACATACGTTCCATAGATGCCCTCAATCAAGCTATAGGAAGCACATGCATATAAAGCTTAACAAGCACTATGATACGCCTTAGGTTTAGACAAATTTCGGTTTGCCCTAGTTTCCCCCAAAAAGAGGTAATTTCTTCACCAAATCAAAGAAGAAACAATCACAAGAGGGTTGGATGAGTAAGTTAAAACCTTTGCATAAGAAACCAAGGAAGAAAACAAGATAGTTTTCCCACTTCGAGAAGGACAAGATCTCCCACACGATAAAAACCCTAAGAAAAGAGCAAAGGATGCTAAGGAGATAATAAGAGAAGAAATACACTTTTATAATGCTCCAACCAAACTCTATGGCCCCCTTCATACAATCCAAAAGTCCCTCACATCCCCCAAATTACCCCCGACTTAAGTGGGTGGGCCATGCCCCTCCAACTAAACCCTATGGCCCCCTTCAACAATCCAAAAAGTCCTCACATCCCCAAATTCCCCCACTTAAGTGGGTTGGGCCCCTTTTTGTCCCAGCACCGGTCCCGCCCGCCTCCATAGACCCGCAATCGGGTTCTAGATGGACCTGGGTGAACCGGTCTATCACACTACTTCATTGACTGAACTTGTCCTGGCTCACAATTACTTCACCCAGGATTTTGTCATTCAACTCATGAGGACTCCGCCTTCTATTCATATGGGACTTGCTTTTTGCAAACTCGATCTTACATATTAGTTCTTGCAAATAGCCCAAATGATTTGCTAGAGAACAACTTAAATGTAGGCATAAAAAGGAGACCCACGTGTATTTTCCAACTCAATTCAGGTTGTTGCATTAGTCTGTACTACAGGGCATCATTTTTATTTTTATCATATTTACCTAGGTGTAAAAGGCTTCCTCGTTTAGCCCTCTTAACCTTATAATAAGGGATAAAGAAGTAATTTTTGACTTCAAATAAACTATTCATGGGACTATTCACACATATATGCATCTATATATATATATATATATATATTATATATATATATATATATATATATATATATATATAATATATATATTATATATATGGGATAGATTATAGCTTCTCTCTTATTCTTACTCGATTCTTTAGGTTTAAACTGCTATGACCTGTTAGGCATACTTGCTAATTTTCTTACATGATTCTTCAGCTTTAACCTTCTTAAACTTGTTAGTAGGGTTGGGTGTCGCCCATAAATAAATTTGAATTCAACACAAATATTAAATGGATAAGGTGGAAAAGAGCAGGAAAAAAACACATAAGCAAAATGTATTTATGACTTGGAGATAGATGGAAGAAAAGGTTAAATGTAGTTTGAAACTTATCTAGTTTCTTAACAAGACTACCATAAATGTGACTTGGAATAATTTGACAACTCATAATTAGTTTTGGAACCACCAACAAAAAGTAAAAAGATTGATTTTTTCCTCTCTAACAGTTAGTGGGTAATGAGCCACCAATTTGAGCTCTATGAATCCCCTCTTTTGTATCTGCCTTATGTTTATTTCACGCCTTAATAACATTCTTCCTGCTATTTTACTTTGTCCTTGGTTGGTTTTAGTTCCTCTCTTTGATTTATCTCATTGGTCTTTTGTATCTTCAGGATCCACAAGTTGTAACTGGCTCTCATGACACAACTATCAAGTTTTGGGATCTTGTTGCTGGTAATTATCATTATCAAATTTTAAAATTGTTCATAATCTGTCATATCTGATTCTAAAAATTTCTCTACACAGGGAAGACAATGTTAACACTAACCCACCATAAGAAATCTGTTCGTTCATTAGCGTTGCATCCAACAGAGTAAGTTCACTCAACTTACACTGATCTGCATGGTTTTCTCTGCACCAAATTTTAAACAAAAAAATTGCTCCTTTTCTTATTCATTATAGGTTTGTTTGACTTAGTTGTTCATATGTAATTAATTGGCAGGCAAACTTTTGTATCAGGATCGGCAGATAATATTAAGAAGTTTAGTCTGCCA